TTATAGCCCCTATAACTTTTTCAATAAGGTATTAGAAAAATTATTTCATAGCTTTGTCAAAGCTAAATTGTAGGTCAAGCCCTATGTATCTTATATGGCTCACCCAGTTCAGCTAGGCCTACAAGACGCCACATCCCCTGTCATAGAAGAACTAATCACTTTTCACGACCATGCTTTTATAGCTATATCTTTAATTAGCTTTCTAGTCTTATACGCCCTATCCTCAACACTCACAACAAAACTTACCAACACCAACATCACAGATGCCCAAGAAATAGAGACCATCTGGACTATTTTACCCGCAATTATCTTAGTCCTAATCGCCCTTCCATCCCTGCGCATCCTGTATCTAACAGACGAAATCAACAACCCCTCCTTTACTATTAAATCAATCGGACACCAGTGATACTGAACCTACGAGTACACAGACTACGGAGGCTTAATCTTTAACTCTTATATACTCCCCCCGCTGTTCTTAAACCCAGGAGACCTTCAACTTCTAGAAGTTGACAATCGAGTAGTCCTCCCAATTGAAGCCCCCGTCCGTATAATAATCACATCCCAAGACGTCTTACATTCATGAACTATCCCTACACTAGGCCTAAAAACAGATGCAGTGCCTGGACGCTTAAACCAAACTATATTCACCGCCACACGACCAGGCGTCTACTATGGACAATGCTCAGAAATCTGTGGCGCAAACCACAGCTTCATACCAATCGTCGCAGAACTTATCCCACTAAAAATCTTTGAAATAGGACCTGTATTTACCCTATAACCCCCCCCCCATAAGCCCTTAAAAATACTTTACAGACCCGCTGTACAGCTATCCTAGCATTAACCTTTTAAGTTAAAGATTGAGGAACATACCCTCTACGGTGAAATGCCCCAATTAGATACATCTACATGATTCACTACTATCATGATGATGCTCCCTACACTATATCTTATTATACAATTAAAACTGCTAAACACAAATTACTATCAACCCCCCTTACAAAAAAACCGTAGCCTACAAATCCACAATAATCACTGACAACTAAAATGAACGAAAATCTATTTACCCCGTTCTCAACCCCAATAATCCTCAGCCAATCCGCCACAATTCCCATTATCCTATTTCCTACACTGCTAATTCCAACCTCCAAACGCCTCATTAACAACCAACTAATCACTATTCAACAAAGCCTGACTCAACTCACTCTAAAGCAAATAATAGTAACTCACAATACTAAAGGGCAATCCTGAGCTCTTATACTAATATCCCTAATCACCTTTATTACCATAACCAACCTCCTAGGACTCCTACCCCACTCATTTACGCCAACCACCCAACTTTCTATAAACCTGGCTATAGCAATCCCCCTATGAGCAGGCACAGTGATTGTGGGCCTTCGCTTTAAAACCAAAAATTCCCTAGCCCATCTTCTACCACAAGATACACCCACACCACTCATTCCCATACTAGTAATAATCGAAACTATCAGTCTACTTATTCAACCAGTAGCCCTAGCTGTACGACTAACCGCTAATATCACAGCTGGTCACCTACTAATGCATCTGATTGGAAGCGCTGCACTAGTATTATCAACCATTAACTTCCCCGCTGCCTTACTAACTTCTATACTCCTAACACTACTAACCATTCTAGAAATTGCAGTCGCTCTAATTCAGGCCTATGTCTTTACACTCTTAGTCAGCCTTTACTTACACAACAATACCTAATGACCCACCAACTCCATGCTTATCACATAGTTAAACCTAGCCCCTGACCATTAACAGGAGCCCTATCAGCTCTCCTAATAACATCCGGCTTAGTTATATGATTTCACTTTTACTCCATTACCCTACTGACACTAGGCCTACTAACCAATGTACTAACCCTATACCAATGATGACGCGATATTGTATGAGAGAGCACTTATCAAGGCCACCATACAGTACCTGTCCAAAAAAGCCTTCGATATGGAATAACATTATTCATCATCTCAGAAGTCTTCTTCTTCACCGGCTTCTTCTGAGCGTTTTACCACTCGAGCCTCGCTCCAACACCCCACTTAGGGGGTCACTGACCACCAACAGGCATTACCCCTTTAAATCCCCTAGAAGTACCTCTTCTAAACACCTCTGTACTACTCGCATCAGGAATTACAATCACCTGAGCCCACCATAGCCTCATAAACAATAACCGAAAACAAACAATCCAAGCCTTAGTTATCACAATTCTACTGGGCATCTACTTCACCCTACTACAAATCTCAGAATACTTTGAAGCACCTTTCACTATCTCCGACGGTATTTACGGTTCAACATTTTTCGTCGCCACAGGCTTCCATGGACTTCATGTCATCATTGGATCTACATTTCTTCTTATTTGCCTCATTCGCCAACTATTATACCACTTCACATCAAACCACCATTTCGGCTTTGAAGCCGCCGCCTGATACTGACACTTCGTAGATGTTGTCTGACTGTTCCTCTACATTTCTATCTATTGATGAGGATCCTACTCTTTTAGTATAACTAGTACAATTGACTTCCAATCAATCAGTTTTGACAATATTCAAAAAAGAGTAATCAACCTAGTACTAGCCTTAACAATCAACACCCTTTTGACCTCACTACTAATAATTATCATATTCTGATTACCCCAACTCAACTCCTATGCAGAAAAAACTAACCCTTACGAATGTGGATTTGATCCCCTAAATCCCGCTCGTATCCCATTCTCAATAAAATTTTTCCTGATCGCCATCACTTTTCTACTATTCGACCTGGAGATCGCTCTACTACTATCCCTACCATGAGCCCTCCAAACAACAAACTTTCCAGTAATAATCAAAACATCTATCATATTTATCATCATCCTAATTCTCAGCCTAGCCTATGAATGAACCCAAAAAGGACTAGACTGAGCCGAATTGGTAAGTAGTTTAAACAAAACAAATGATTTCGACTCATTAAATTATGATAACCATACATCTGGTCTTTATCACTCTTCCATAATGCCTCCATGGCAAGGGTGGCAGAGAGGAAGACTTATGCTGAGGAAGTAGAACTGACTAGAAGTCATGAACAATGCTTGGTGACTAGATTCTAGAACGGATGAATACGGCTTTGCTTTGCTTCCAAGCTTCTGTGTCAGGAATGGTTTCATTCATCTACACAGGGAACAGAGGATGGAGGGGTGATGTCTTCAGGCTAGGGCATGTATAGGGTGACCAAATCTGACCTTGTATTGTGCAAACTCAGGACTTTCGTAGAGAAAGGGGTCACCATCCAGAGGGATGCCAGATAAAAATGTACAATGGGACTAAGCCAGGCAAACAGTGGCACATGTTCACGTTAGACATGTGGAATCTGATATTGCTGTAAGAAATACAGAAGAACATGGGATAAATGGCAATGGAGGCCTAAAACTCAGCAGAAATGGCTGAACTTATAATTTGTGAACTGTTATTTATGGTTGTTGGTGGAGCCCACAGTAGTGAAGGAGATGGCTCAGGGAGATCACATTAAAGGCGATGAGAAGAAAAACTAATGATCAAATTCTAGTGAAGGGGAAGTAAGGGTAGCAAATATAATTTCAAATTAACATTTAATTTAAAAATTATATACTATTACTGTTTATTATTTAACCCCTCCCTTCCAAGTTAATTTCATTTACACTATTCATGAGGCTACACAGTTTAGTAAAGGGTCCATTTAAGCAGGATGAATTTAACACACTAATTCCAGAATGAAAGCAAAAGCTCTCTGCATCTATGCTAAATTATTTGACATAAATAGTTGTCTTGCTACAGAAAGCAAATAGAGTACACTTTCCACTATAATTAGAATTAAATACATTGGAGCTTCCCAATAACATCAGATACTCCTAGAGTCTTTGGCAATAAAATCCTTTTGCCTCAGATTCAGGTTGGGCCCATGTTATTTCCAGTTCCTCACTATCAGAATCAAAGTAAAGATCCAGGAAAGAAAATAGGCACATTTACCTTAAGGAAATCCAATAATACTAGCTTAGATGGAAGTACTATATCATTGATTGAATGCACAGTAATTTCAGACTCATCTGATAATTTCTTTAATCTAAAGGATGATTATTACAGCAAGAAACTAATTACAGTTGAATATTTTATATTTTAATATCAAGACATCATTGCCTCTCTGGATTTCTTTTCTGCCTCATTCAGGGTCTCAGAGATTTTAAAGTATATTTTTGAGTAGATGCAATTTTTTGCTTACCTACTAACTTCAGAATCTATTCTCCTCTTAAGATGTATCTGCTACTCATGTTTTCTCATAGAGCTAGATAAAAGCAGATCTGTCTAGAACACAGATTTTGGGACCCCAGACCACTGATTTCCTGTCATATGAAGTGTCATTCTGTGACACAAAAATACAAACTAAGTTCAATTTCTTTTTTACAAAATAAAATCACAAAGGTAAATTTGCCAGGGCTTATTTAAAAATTCTCCATATAAAGTTTTCTAAGCTTATCATGCATTTCTCTTTATTTATTTATTTATTTACCTTTTTACATTAGCACATGTCTTGATTTATCCAGGATACACTTCCTTTTTGTTACTATATCTAATCAAACTTTGATTTTGTATTCTGTTTCTTCAAGTTTTTAAGTCTATGGCCCTTAAAGAATACCAAATTTTTTCTAATATAGAAGCATTAATGAAAGGTGCTCGCCTTCTCATAGCTAAGTAGCCTTGAATATTATTCAACTCATGTAGAATATCAGCTTTGTGTGTGTGTGTGACATTCAGGAATCTGACTTGAAATGGTTGGAGTTAAGGGTTCTTTCTATACTCCCAGGAAAATTGACCACACACACACACACACACACACACACACACACACGAAGATAAAATGAAACCACAACACTGAAGGAAAAAGGTCTGTTCCTGGTTTCTTGTCAGTAGACATTTTTTTTCTCCCATAAATTCCCATCACCTCTAAAGCTGGGCTACACAGCACTGAGCACTTACTATTGACAATAGCTGTGGGCAAAATAGAAGCCATGGCAGCTTGCTGAGGAAGCAGCTGAATTGAGTCCAGCAGGCGTGCAGGGTACATCCCTTCTGTGAGAGTCAGCTGACTGGCAGCTTGTAGCCTTGAGTCAAAATCCACCACAAAGGCAATTAGCTCTTCACCCTCAGAGATGGCCTTCGTAGTTGTACACCAAAGCTGACCCCCTATTAAGAAGAAAAAAGAAAAAGATAATATTGACACAGGATGCTTGAGTCTGTTGTACACTAGCTTGATGTCCACAGCACCTTCTCATGTTTTTCACACCGGTTCCTACTGTGGAGTGTTTGATCAAGGCAACAGTTGTGCTCCTTTTGCCTCCTGTGTGGAAAATTGTACTCTTTGCATTAAATGAACTGTTTAGTGACCAGAAGTAGGAGGAGACTAAGAATCAAGTACAGCATAAACATAATTTGTGCAGATTTTTGTCAATTGTTTGCTCTTTGGGGCTTGCCTGAGTCAGTAACCCTACCAGTACATTGGGATAGTACCTAAAAACCAGCATGGTAAGGACCCAGCTGCTGAAATTTATTTCCTGTGAGCATTTGAAGTTATTCTTTCTGTATTTTATGAAAGTAAGAAGTTATTTCTCTCTCTCCTTCTCTTCCCCCCATGAAATATTTCCATCATATCAATACCAATGCCCAAACTACAGAACAAGTAAACAAAAACTCCTAAAATCTAGAAAATTAAAGTGAGATTCAGGTAGTTATACTCTGCTATGTCTGCTGCCTTTTTTTTTGGCTGAATGATCTTTACTTATATAATATTATGTATAATGTAGCTTCTTCGTCTCCATTTACCCTGATTGAACTTCCTGAAATGAAGATATGCCAAAAATCCTTTTCAAAAAGGCTCATTTAAATAAAGATTTGTTTAAATGAAAAGAAATGTCTCTTCAAACACTAAGATATACTCTGGCACTGCACTTCAACAATCACATGTTTTGCATTAAAAAGAAAAATTAACTATGCAAGTACATCTAATGTATTGGGATGTGATAGCAAATGCTCATTTATTTTACATGTTTAGACAGGCAAAGCACTTATATTTTGTTATCTACACTCTCAGGCCTAGATATGTATCCTATACAGTTATGCCTGAAATAATGCCTGAAATAACTTGATATGTTATAAAGCTCTTTTTTTTTCCATTGTGTATAGATTGGAAGGCTGTGTATTGCACTCATTAAGCAGCCAAAACTTGTACCCATTTTGATAAGACATATTGCTCTGTTTATCTTTCAACATAACTGTCTTTTCAACTGCACTTCATTTTTTCTACCCTTAGAGCTGATGGTTTTTAAACAACTTGTGGTAAAACTCTGGTGGAAAAGATAACAACAGCATATGATATGGCAGAGTTGCCCAGAAGAATCAGAACATTGTTTTAGAGAAACGTTGGGCAATTAATTAAGCCAGCTGATTAAGTTTTAAAGGTAAGGAAACAAAACCATCTGTGAGAGTATATGATTGTTAAAAAATAAAGCTAAGACTACAGACCCCAAATTTGTGTGAAAGTTTCAAAGTAACAAAACAAATATACTGTTAAAAAATAAAGCTAAGACTACAGACCCCAAATTTGTGTGAAAGTTTCAAAGTAACAAACAAATATACTAAAATGCTAGAAAACAACTTTTTTTCACTTTGACACGAATGTATCTGAAAGCATACAAGTTTACCACAGTTGAATAAAACAGATTTATTTTGCTTTGATTTACTTCTTTTCAAATAATAGAAGCTAAACCGTATCATGTCGAAATCAGAGTAGCGATGAAAGTGTGAGTGGTGGTATTTCTGCTGTTCTTCCCCATAGAAGGCTTCTGCGATTAGCTTTTATGTCTTCCTTCCCTTATGGGCATTCAGATCCAAACTACTTGCAACTGTAGACAAGGTAATCATTTAATCATTTGCACCTTATCTTTCCACTGAACTACAGTTTATTGAGGCTGTGTAATGAAGAGATAGGGGAGACACAGCAAGAAACCACAACTCAGGTTTAGTTCATATGGTCTTTCAGAGTCACTAGACTTCAGTCATTAACTTTACATTATTGGTTAAGTCCAGCTATGTGTACCTTTCACAAAAGTAAGGAAAGAATTGGACTCAGGTGCCCAAGAGAAATTGAGGTTTTAGAGAAGATGCCCAGCCAAAAATAATCTTTATCACTGTGGTAAGCTATAGGGTAGGACGACTCAAGAGTATTTATTCTCAAATTTTGAACCAAAAGATTTAATAAATTAAGTAAAATTGAATTCAAAAATATTAACTTCAAATAAAAGTGAACAAAAAAATCATTTGTATGCATCATTAAATGACTCGGCAGTTGTAATATATATTTGTGTTTTCAGATGTACCTAATAATGTTTCAAATTTTATTATCTTTATCACTTTATCTCATTTGATGGTTTAGTCAGAGCGCATCATTCTAAAAGGCTAAATTAGACTGAAAATGTACTGTTGGACTTGACGAGAAAGTTATCTTTGGATTTAATCTTTCAAATCATTCACTAATCAGCTATTCATTGAAATCTCTGCTGCGTGCTAGGCTGGGAGCTATGGCTTCACATGCAGCTCTACAATTAGAATACACACATATATGCAAATATATTACAATACCACATTAAGGGTGTCATCCCCTAACGCTAAAGAGAATGTGAGAGGAGTGAGTAACTGCCCCTTCTTGGAGAAGTTAGGCAAGCTATCCAAGGTGATGTTTTTATTAGCTCATGAAGAACAAATAGAGGTAAAACAGCAAAAACATGTGTAGGCAGGACGAGGCAGGTACATCATTATTGCCCTATAAATGAGCATGTGTGAAGGTTTAGAATTACAGAAAAGTCACCCCAGTGAGTAGTTGGGACTACAGGTGTGATCATCACTCTTGGCTAATTTTTTTTTTTTTTTTTGAGATGGGGTCTCCCTCTGTCACCCAGGCTGGAGTGCAGTGGTGCGATCTCAGCTCACTGCAAGCTTCGCCTCCCTGGTTCACGCCATTCTCCTGCCTCAGCCTCCCAAGTAGCTGGGACTACAGGCGCCCGCCACCACGCCCGGCTAATTTTTTGTATTTTTAGTAGAGATGGGGTTTCACCATGTTAGCCAGGATGGTCTCAATCTCCTGACCTTGTAATCCACCTGCCTTGGCTTCCCAAAGTGTTGGGATTACAAGTGTGAGCCACGGAGCCTGGCTAATTTTTAAAAATATTTTTTTGTAGAGATGGAGTCTCACTATGTTGCCCAGACTGGTCTAGAACTCCTGGGCTCAAACAATCCTCTTGCCTTGGCCTCCCAAAGTGCTGGGATTGCAGGCATGAGCCATGGTGTCCAGCCAGGAGTACTTTCTTTGGGCCTGATAAGCTAAGTGGTTTATGTAGTTCATCTATTTTAATCCTGTCAATTACTCTGTGAGGTAGGTTAATAGTTCCCCAGTTTGAGAAAACTGAAGCTTAGAGAGAATAACTAAGTTTCCCAAAGCCATACACAGGCTCAGTGGCAGAATTGTGACTTACACTTTTGTCTGTCCAACTGCAGAGTCCAAGCGTGCATGTGTGTGTGTTGTGTGTATATGCGTATATGTGCATGCACGGAAATAATGAATTCTGTTTTGAAAATGCAAAGTTTGGGGTACCTGACAGACTTCTGGTGAATTTATCTAGGAGAAAGATGGAACTTGGAGAAGACATACAGGCTGAAGAAAAAAAAAATGTTTTGGAAGTGATCTGCACATTCTAATTGACCATGGATGCTCTCTGCATTCATGTGGTAACCCAGGGAGAGTATGGAGTGAAAAGAGGATCACCAAAGAAACTTGGGGTATCTCAACATTTAGGATGTGCACAGAGAAGACGAGATCATTAAAATGTACCAAGAGCTTATATTTAAATGTTAGAGGGAAATCAAGAGAATGGCACCACAGAAATCAAGGGTTGGATTTCTTTATAATTGTTTGGCTGAGTTTTTAGATGGTGAATTTAGAACATACAACTTGAGGGAGTCATTCATAGGAAGTAATAACCCAAATATTATAACATAACTTCAATTACTGATGCTAATAAAACTTTCAGAGTGTGATCACTCTTGGGGGATGTTTGGGCAATGGAACCAGACTGCCTAGGTGGAAATCTTGGCTCTGCCACTTATTATGTGTGTGACTTAGAACTTGTCACCTAAGCTTTCTACCTGTCAGTTTCCTCATTCCTGAAAATACGAAAGATGATAAACAGTGCTGAACTCATGATGTTATTATGGGGATTAAATGAGCTAATATATGTGAAAGCTTAAGAACAGCACCTGACATATAATCATATAATAAATAACATATAACAAATGTTTATATAATTGTTAGCTATTATCGTTTTAGTTTAATCTGCTTGGGGCTATTATTATTCTCATTTCTTACTGCCCTGCTAAATCCAAGAGGAAAGAAATCTCACCAGAAAGAAAAGGCACACCTGTGAATCCAATGAGCAGATCTGTCTACACTTCACTGGAGGCAGCTAACTCATTTTAGAAAAGAAGAATACGGTTGCATTTGTTTGTGGATCACAAACTATTGTGGACCAGTTAGAAACAGAAATAGTTTCTAGCAATCTTTGTGGATCTGAAGGGGCAGGAGAACCAGTTTCCTGCTTTAATGCTTCAGAGCTGAGATAAATATGGCCTACTTCAACTTACAATTGTGTAGAGGGTAGTAGTATTTACGTACATTAAGAAGCTATACAAGCACATGAAAATGCTAAGTCATGTTGACATTTAGCTACAAAATCTTGTACCCTTTGACCTCATGTTTAAAACAAACCACAGGATATTACATTTGACTTTAAAATGAGAGCACAATTATCAGAAGAAAATAAAAAAGAAAATAAGAAGTGTTGTTAAGGATGTAGAGAAACTGGAACCCTTGTGCACTGTTGGAGGGAATGTAAAATTGTACAAAATGATGAGCTATCCAAAAATTAAGACTAGAATTACCTATGATTTTAGCAATTCTACTTATGGATATATACTCAAAAGAAAGGAAAGCAGAGTCTCAAAGAGCTATTTGAACAGCCAAGCTCATAACAGCATTGTTTGCAATAGCTAAAACGTGGAAGCCACCCATGGAAGTATCCATTGACAGAGGAATGGATAAGAAACATGTGATCTACACGTACAACTGAATATGATTCCGCCTTGAAAGGAAATTCTCACATATGCTACAACATGGATGAAGCTTGAGGACATTGTACTGGGTGAAATGAGCCAGTCACGAAAAGACAAACAGTGTATGATTCCACCTACATGGAGTACTTACGGTATCCCAAATCATAGAGACAGAAAGTAGAATGGTGGTTGCCTGGGGCTGGGGATAGGGGGTTGAGGATTTAGGTTTAGCGTAAATAGAATTTCAGTTTGGCAAGATAAAGAGCTCTAGAGATGGATGGTGGTAATAGTTGCACAACAATGTGAATGCCACTGAACTATACACTTGAAAATGATTAAGATACTACATTTTATGTTATGTGTATTTTATCAGAATTTTAAAAATCGAGAAAAAAATGAGGGTACTTTTCTTTTCACTACAAAATATCCTCTGTGAACCTAGAACATTGGCATAAAATTTTTAAGCCATAACTAAGAATAAGAATATAACTTTTAAAAAGTGGCTTCATATGAGATGATTTTAGGAAAACCAAAAAAGAAAGAAAGAAAAAAAAAAAACCATAAAGAAACACAAAGCATAAGATCTTCTTCCTTCTCAACTTTCCTAGCAAAGCTATTTAACAAACCCCATTTGAAAGTCAGGCACCTAGTGAAATGAAGTTGCTGCTAAGAAGGAGTTCACTTTATTTGGCCATATTAACTCTTCTCATTTGAATGAACTCGGGAGACTTGTGTAGATCTGAACATTTTTTAACGATTTAGTTCCTGGTCCTTGATTGATGTGAGTTTCTGCCTGTGTTTCCAGTGCCAGTGGAGTGTTCCTGTTGACTCTCTACAGAGATGAAATTTAAGGAATCTGAACAGATGTTTTCTGTGGCTTTCATAAGAAGCAGTATGCTTAATGTGCCCCAAATTTCAACCAAGTGCATTTCCAATACACTAATCCATATTAATGCTATATTCATATGAAAACAAAGGGAATTCTGTAAAATTATTGGTTGGACATGTGGCAATGTAAATATATGCTCCGTATCATTGAGTTCTGCATCTTTGGATTCAATCAAACTCAGATAAAAATATTACCCCAAATTACAATAATGAAGAATAACACAAGTAAAAAACCAATAAAGTTTTATATCAGGTACTCGAACATCCTCAGATTTTGGTGTCTGAGGAAGGTCTTGGAACCAACCCACAATGGATACTGAGGGACGACTGTATCCTTCATTGATAAAACTGTTACTATTTTGTTTACACTGCAATTCAAGGGTAAATGTTCTTATTTTAAGGAATTACACACTGATAGTGAAGAACAGGTGGCACCTGAAATCACGGAAAATGTATTTGTCCTCAATGCAAAGATGAACTATAAAGAGCACTTTATTGGTAAGTAAGAAAGTTTGGTTTGGGTCTGATTTCGTTATTAGTTACTGTGTGAGCTTGGACAATCGCATTACCTACATCAATTTTTTTTTTTTTTTTTTAAGACGGAGTCTCGCTCTGTCACCCAGGCTGGAGTGCAGTGGCCGGATCTCAGCTCACTGCAAGCTCCGCCTCCCGGGTTTACGCCATTCTCCTGCCTCAGCCTCCCGAGTAGCTGGGACTACAGGCGCCCGCCACCTCGCCCGGCTAGTTTTTTGTATTTTTTAGTAGAGACGGGGTTTCACCGTGTTAGCCAGGATGGACTCGATCTCCTGACTTTGTGATCCGCCCGTCTCGGCCTCCCAAAGTGCTGGGATTACAGGCTTGAGCCACCGCGCCTGGCCTACCCACATCATTTCAAATGACAGCCTTAGACTAAATATTTCTCATCATCCAGTTGTGAGCATCTTTTTATGCTATTCGTCATGTGCTAATAATAGTAATAATCAGATTTATTAAGTGGTTACTATGTGCTACACACCTGCGCTGTGCAAAAAGCTTTGCAGGAATTATCTTATTGATTTCCCCTAAGGAAGCAGTGAGGTGGCTTTTATTGATTCTCATTTTACTGTGGGATCATGATGCTGGAAGTGTAAGTTGTTCAAAGTCACACAGCTAGAGGGGAACTGGAAGATGAGAAGGAAATATGGGAGATGGGATTTGAATAAGGCAGTTTGGCTCTAGATTTTATATGAAAAACTAGGTGTCCCAAGCCATGGCGCCATCTGGTGTTCACTCTGTAACACTCCTACCTTCATTACTAAGTTTGAATAATTGGCACAGTTATCTCTCTGAAGGAATTTATGAGGCAGTATTAGGCAGGTTACATAGTTACTAGATAGTTTTCAAATGCATAGCTACAATGTGGAGAATAAAATTTATGTGTGATGTGGAAGTGACTCCAAGTTACTTTATTACTTTATTTTAAGATAGGGTCTCTGTCACCCAGGCTGGAGTGCAGTGGCAATCACGGCTCAGCTCACCGCAACCTCCATCTCCCCGCTCAGGAGATCCCCACTACAGCATCCCGAGTAGCTGGAATCACAGGCGTGTGGTACCACTCCCAGCTAACTTTTCTATTTTTAGTAGAGATGGGGTTTTGCCATGTTGCCCAGGCTGGTATTGAACTCCTGAGCTCAAGGGATCCTCCCACTTCAGCCTCCCAAAGTGCTGGGATTACAGGTGTGAGCCACCATGCCTGGCTGACTCCAAGTTATCTTGTAATGTGACTAACCTCATTAAAATAGCGAACACTTAGAAAGCACTTACTATGTGGCAGGCACTGTTCTAAGCACTTCACATACATTAAGCTCAATTATTAATATAAAATACAAACACAGCACTTTCCCAATTCCTTGTTTAAACTGCAAGTTTAGCTGGACATTAAAAAGGGCATCAAGATTCGACCTAACCATCAAGCACTGACTGGCGACCTGGACTGCACAGAACAGTCACAAGGGGAACTTAGAACCAACGCTGATTGTGGGCCGTGTCCGAGAGCCATCAAATCAGCCTCTGGAACTGAAGTTTGGGCTTCAGTATTTTTTAGAAGCTCTCTGGAGGGCTTGGTTTTCTTCCATAGTTAAGAATAACTGCCATAGGAGTAAACTATCTGCACTTCATATAGTGTAGAAAGAGTTAAGCTTGATGAACAAAAAAGTCTCTTGATGATCAAATATTTCACAGGAGTGCTCAGACAATTCAGTAGAGAAGATGTCCATTTTGAAACTCAGAAAATTACACTTGAAAATAGCTTTTATTTATTTATTAATTTATTTGAGAGGGAGTTTTGCTCTTGCTGCCCAGGCTAGAGTGCAATGGCACGATCTCGGCTCACTACAACCTCCGCCTCTCAGGTTTAAGCGACTCTCCTGCCTCCCTGCTGGGATTACAGGCACCCACCATTAGGCCGGGCTAATCTTTTGTATTCTTAGTAGAGACGGGGGTTTCACCATGTTGGCCAGGCTGGTCTCAAACTCCTGACCTCGGGTGATCCGCCCACCTCGGCCTCCCAAAGTGCTGGGATTACAGGTGTGAGCCACCGCACCCAGCGAAACTACCTTTGAATGTTCCCTTTTCCTGCAGTGTTTGAAGAATGTAGGAATGATGAGTGAAATGGTGAAGGAAGTGGATAAACAATGATGTAATGACTTAGCCTCATCTTTCAACTCAATAAGCCAATGGGGAACTTGGTAAATTTGTTGATTATGTTTAGCTTTACAATGCTTAATTCTTTATTATTTTGAAGTGATGTATTTTATTATTAGGAATGATCAATAGTAATGCATCCTCCAAAACTGTGGAAAGATCATATTGTGCAAACTAGAGCAAAAAAATCACATTCCTCCTGCATGGGCATGAAATCTTTATCAAATGACATCAGGCACTGAAGCAGCTATCTGATACCTTCCTTGCTTCCACCAAATGGAAAGGTTATTTTAGGATTCTCTCTTTGTCTGTCTCTTATGCTGCAAACATAGTCACTCTCCTCAGTCATCATACTCACAATACCACTCCCTTCACAAATAAAGGACAAATACTTATTCAAGTTTCCATGAAAAGGAGTAACTACTAAGACCTTGACATTCTTGAAAAAGCATATATTTGCTGTTCTAAGTAATGTTTATGATCAAGGTTCTTGTGCAACCAGATACGGTTTCTAACAGGAAGCTTATAAATTTTTCTTATAATTGCTGTCAAAACTGCAGTGAAGTGTACTACAAGTTTTGATAATAAAGAATAAAGTCACAGTTCAAACTCGATTATATTTTGGAAATTCATGCTCCTCTTACTAGAAGCAGTGGCCTTAAATATCTTCCCACCCTGCCAAATTTTTCACTTGCACTTTTTATTATTTATGAAATCAGTCTCTGCACAATGTCATGCAGACCTCTGCTGATAAACTCTAATTAAGATTAAGACAAGCCTTTTGGAAAGGATCCCATCATTAGCAAACATGATAAACACAAAAATACTCCCTACTTGTCAACCAGGAGCAATTCAGTAACCTAACAGTATTATCTGTTGCTAGGTTACAGCGCTGACAAAGCTTCAATTATATTGTTCCACCATACCTATAGAGTTCTGTATAAGCAAAATGTATCCAGAATAAAAGCTTTTAACTTCATCCATGCTATCTGCAATTCATGGCTTCTTACAATGGTAAATATCAGGTTAATAATTACATAGCACGCTGAAAAATCTTTTCCAGGTGTTATGTCTATACATGTTTCTTTCTAATTTATCTGCGTGATTGATAGACGCTTGCTTTATAAAAATAAGGAAATGCAAGCAACGTGAAGCTGTAAACCTCTAGCACAACTACGGGGGCTCATCAAGATATGGACCTAAGCTTAGCATAAAAATATATAGCAAATTGAACCAATTAAATCACATTTAGATTTTGTATTACTCTGCCTCAATATATAGTAGGATAAGGAGCCTGAGGCAATAGATAGGAATATCAGTGTGAAACTTTATTTTAAGCTAAAAACAAGCAAACAAACCGCATACATTCTCACTAACAATACAAAGGGAAATAGATGGTTTAAAATAACAAGTTATTCTGATGGCTTTTCTAAAGATATTTAAAAGTTAAAGTTAATGACTTTTACTGCATAGCATCGTCATTAAGTCTCATTTCTCTTTTTTTAGACTAGGAATTCTGGGGAAAAACTCAATAAAACATCCCCCAAAATACAGATACTTAATAGGGAAAAACCAAAGTAAAAAGATGTCTGTATTAAAAAAAAAAAAAAAAAAAAAAAAAAGATGACAGTTTCTGTGAATCAGGCTCTCAAAATGATTTTACCATGGGTAATTTTTATGGGTTTCATAAAAATTTGGAGAAAAAGTAATTATGCATAACGGAACCAGCATTTTTAAATAGCTCTTGCATAAAATATGCTATATCATATACTAAATTGCTGCTGCATTTTGCTTCCTTAAGATGTAGATTGATACTTCTGCATTGATTTAAAAAGTCTGTCACCTCCACATACCATGGAAAAAAATGGTCAACTGATGACAAGCACGTAGTTAATGAAGATTACACATTGGCCTATGAAGTAAATCATGATCTCTTGTAGGCACATTCAAGTAAAATTAAAGCCATTCTCTGGGGGAATAGGCCATTTAACACAGAAACACACACACACACACACACACAGAGACATATACAGAGTGGTATCATGTTTCTGGAGGTGGAGAAAAGTGGAATACTTACTTGTTTGGTCATTAACTTCTTTTATTTTTACTAAATAATTAGAAAAATCTCACATGACACCTCCCTCTGAAATCTTTTTTTTTTTTTTTTCCGTAACTGGGAAGTGATTGGTCAGAATAATTCCTTAAAAGCTAAATAACTGTCCCATTTCAACATCGCATGTGGTAATGCCTAGATCTCAGGGTTTAGGCATTAACACAGGACATATATCTATACGTGACCACATTGCTTAGTACCAATTTTATAATGAATTCAAATCCAATACTGTTGAAATTCTTGACAGTGGAGTAGTGGAAGGAATAGAACTTATAAATTATGGGTGCCCCTTCTTTGAAAACCGCTTTGGAGGTTTCTTTGTGCCTTGGCAAATACAGTAGGAATATGAGGTATTGTGTGGATCCTCCTGCACAGCACCTGATAAAAGAATAAAGAGCTGTGACATATTCTTAAAACAATAGAGGAATTAAAGGGAAACAATGGGCCAGCTGCTTCATTAATACAATCAAAAGGGAGCCCAGCACAGAGGAGTCCAGATAATTAAGCACTACTCTTTTAGCCTTCCTTTCTATAATAAAATTGCTTAAAAATGTATTAGCTACTTCATAGTTGTTAGATAGATCTATGCACTTGTTTATTTAGAGTTGATTAATGCCTTTTTTTCCTATGCAGCAACATGCCAACTCATAGTTTACAATAGTTTTTGAATAAAATAGAGTAAAATAATTGATAAAGATCTGCACAATACACAGCAATAAATCAAAGCATTTTGCAAAAGGTCTTTCCTGTTTTTAAATGATCTTTAACGTTTTACACTTGTGCTAGATAGGCAACGCAGGGCATTTGGGGGCATTCAACTTTCCCATGCTGGCACTCCTGACAGCTTTTTATAGAACATCCTAGCAGTTCTTGGGAGAAGGGAGAAAGTCAGACCTGACCAACTACCCTGGAGTGTGCCTTTTGTATTTGGACCAAAGGAGAGGGCAGCTTTTTTTAAAAAAAATTATTCATTGCCTTTTCCAATCAAGAGGAATGGACAAATGGCCGAAACCATTTGCCAAATCCACTATTTATCCTTCATTAACTTGATTATAGAAAATGAAAACGCAAACTTTTTATGCTCTTTATGTTAAAACACATTTTACAATTTAAGATATCAAGGCTTTTGTTCTTCAGCTCTTCTGTAAGCAGCCTTTCCTCTGATGTCAATGGAACATTTAATTGCTTAAGAACTGGAAAATTGGGAACTAAATGCTTGTGCTGAATATTGGAGTTGGATAAAAACTGCACTCTGGTTTTCTCCCAAATATTTTTCCATAAGCTTATGTCAACCCAACTTTAAAATTACAAACTTGACTAAACCATGTGGCTAGTTTCTATTCTGATGATTTCAGGACTTTAATTGAGTAACCAAGACAGAATTAGAAAGAGGAAGCAGGGAGATAAATGGATAGAGATGCTCAGCCGTATTTCTGAGACTAAGAGAAGATTCTGCTTTTACACATGTTATATATAATTTAAAATGTATCAGCCGAAGTCATATTTCCAAAGAACTTTCTGTATTATGTCAACATATTATAGGATATGGAATATCTATTTCTGGCTATGAAATCTGGCTTCTGACTTCAGTAGTTAGTTTCCTATTCACTTAGTAAGTTTTCCTTGAATACCAGGAAATAAAAGCATATAAATAGTCAGTAGCTACAGTAGCTACAAACAAAAATAACTAGTTTAGGAGCTATTGTATATGATTATTTATTTGACTATTTTTGTCTTGACTAGGCTCACAAAACTTACTTTGTTAGAATGGAAAGTAAAAGTAGATAGATAAGAATTGTTTATAGGCTATGAATAATGAAGTGAACTCCTTCAAGTATACATATCTTTGAACACATCAGGTTATAAACCAAGTCCTTACACCAACGCAAAAAACTAGTAAATGGTGACCATGCTATATTGTAAAACTAATAAATTACAGTATCCTCTTTTAGCAAATATTTTAGAAATGAGCTTAAAGTATAATCTGTGATTTATGTGTCACTTCAAATATTATATGCTTATATTATATTACTTAATGTAAATTCAACAGATAGTATATAGGTCTGATCGGAACTTAGAAACAAAGAAACATGAACAGACTCATTAATCTATGTAATTAGCTGTGGCAAACAGGAACTACTATCATTCCATTTCACAGAAAAGGAAAGCAAAGCCAGACTGGTTAAACCTGTGTGTTCCCTAAACTCCCCTCTTCTCAAATAGGGCATTCTCTGGCCCAAGCTTGTAACAGATCCCTGCTAGATTTTTGGTTCCTGTCTTGTATTCTTTCCACAGTACTTTTTTATTTTTATTTTTTATTTTTCCTGTAAGAGAATGTCTCCTATTAAGACAACTTCCTTTCTTTTTTAAGAAGCTCACGAAGCTTCTTTCGGGAAAGTAAACAGAGTCATTGTCATCAGGCCCAGATTTCTATTTAAGCATAAGCTCAGAAAGTTTTGTCCCGTGAATAAAAAAGCACTCAGAGCTTTCTGGAAAACCTGAATTAATGTGTTGGAGGCCATGGGGCTCAGGTATCCTACCTTGGGTTTAATCAAACAGATAAGCTGTTTTTATGGGATTTCAACAGGAAAGGCCTGTGCGTGAAGCCTCATCAGCATTCTGGGGTTTGTGTCCTGGGTGCTTAGCGGAAACTTGCAATGGGGCACTGAGGTAGCCATCTGACTGTATGGCTCTCTGACTAACCTGATTTTAAATGACCAGCCAAGAGGTGACATACACCCCAAAGGCGAGCTGTCAAAATTTCGCCTGCAGCTGATAAACTGATTACAAAGCTGCTTAAGACTCTGCTTGTAAACAAAAGCATTTATCAACTAATAATTTGCAATAAACTGATGTAACTCCCAGCTGAGCCCCTAACTGTAATTGTCTTTACCATCTGCCTATTAAAATACCATTCTTCATCAGCAATCAGGAGCAGAAGGGAGGAAATCTCCACCAAAATACACAACTTGTAAGCTTATGAATAATCTGATTGCATTCCACACTTTCATTACGACTTGTGTGTTGGGTATGCTTAATTTTCATTCTTGCTAGCCTGGGAATGCACTGAAATTAGGTGGAGGGGAAAAGAAGCGGGGAGGGGGGGAAATGAAACACTCCGCCTGCTGCTCTGCAGAGGAATAAATTATACAAGTTCATCATAGGAGGCTGTTTGTAATTTCTTTCTTCTTCCACTTCTCTGTGCAATATCCATTGCGGTATCCTGATGAAAACCCCCCAAGCACCAAGCTGAAAATGAACCTCTCTATTCCTTTGTCAGCTTGTCCATTTCTATTACTCTTCTTTGTTTTGCTTTTTTAAAAAAAAAAAATTCCAAGAGGCTCATTAAACTTCTCTAAGGAGTAAGTTTAAGAGTGTCAACTGCTACGGAGCGGGGTGCGGGGGGTGAAGGGCTGGGTGGATCCAGGGGGTGGAAGTGCCAAGTAGCTGGCAGGATCCTGTGTTTGCAGGCCTCAGTTTGCCACCACAGATGGATGGCTTCCATCTTCAAGTCTCCCTCAAGCACTTAAGAGGTTTCTCCTCCCGAAAACTGGATTTCAGCATCAGTAAGTTCAAACAGTCAGAAATTCCTTTCTTAGAAGAACTTCTGCCCCTTTGCTGCTGACCAGATGCTGCTACAGAAGAAAGAAACTAGGAAAAGGGGTTAAATTTCTGTGCTTTGTATTTTTCTGGAAACTGTCTCTGAACAACCAACATCCTTTTATACCTTCATAAAGTTTATTAAGTTTTAAGTATATTTATCTGAGTTTTTTCTTCACAAAATGTCCTACTGACTTTTACAAACCACAGTAATAAACACACAAATTTCCCTGACATTGACATTTTAAAATTAAAAATACTATACTTCTTTTCATGTCCCTTTGCTGCCCAGACGATGTTCCTTTTGTCAAGTTATTCCTGTTTTCAGGAAACATGTTATCTCTTCAGCAGAGCTCAGTAATTCCACTGATGGAGACCATAGGATACGTTATTATGATGAACAATGACCAAGACCTGTTATTAAGGTTCAAATTCTGGGGATAACAATAGGTGTCAGGCTTTTTAATTATAAGATATAATTATAAATTGATGTTTGTGTTTTTTATTTCACTTTTCTAAGAGCTTCTGCATAGGTAATTATTTTTCTTTGCAATCTACTGTTATATATAAGAGAACTAGTAATTGCCTACCGGAGGAACAGTGGAAGTGGCACACAGGCACCATTTTCTTATTGTGCCTGGTCTAGAGAAGAAAGCTAATGGGGAACAATGGGTCTAATTTTCTGCATAGGTTATGGAGGACCTGAAATGCAGGCAAAACCACACGTGACTATGTTCCTTGAATTTCAGAGACATATTAGGACAAAAATTTGCCATGGATTTTAAACAACATGAAAATTGTCAGACACTAATTATGTGAAGTCTAATTCTTTCTAGAAACACTTTGTTTCCTTCTCATCCTAGCTTTCCAGGCTTTGAAATTCTTTGGTCATAGAGATTATTTTTAATTAATAAAGAAGATGTGGAGTATGAATGAGTGTGTTTCATTGTGTTGATTTGTCATGTCTTTTACAAAAAGTAACCAAAAATCTATAACACAATTTAACTCATAATTTAAGGTTTAAAGATGACTGAGATCAAACTTCCATGTTCAATGGTTGCTTCAAAATATCCACAAATAAATGGTGGTGGGGGGTTTGTTTTTTATTTTATTAATCCTTTTTTTTGCTCTAAATAGATATTTTCATGTCATGATTTAGATAAAACTAGAAAATTCTAATAGTGTAGTTAATTAGTTCTATATCTAAAACTTTTATCATAGTCTACTCTAAAATATGAAAATTCAATCCATTCCTTAGCTGAAAGGTTTTTATTTTATTTTTAAAAACTATTTTTTTTTTACTCCAAATGAATATTTTCATATCATGATTTAGGTAAAACCAGAAGACTTTAATACTGTGCTTATTACTTCTACATCTAAAACTTTCAAAATGTTCTATTCTAAAATACAGAAATTCAACCCTTTCCTTATCTGAAAGGTTACTGGATTTCTATTTCTAAAATAAAACACTGTCATGTGAAATAAGGGCTATTTATAGTGCATAGATGCTCTTTTATTTTCTTCGTGAAGCTCCCTTTCTCTATATGTTGGTATATATATACCTAGGCTCAATTTCAAATGACAGTACCTTGGTAAGAAAATAGTTTTAAAAAAGTAACAACCAGCAGATGGCGCTCAGTGCATTCCTTGAAGTCAGCCGGAAGAAAAGAGAATGTGGGCTTTATTTATTTAATTCTATTCTACGTTAAATGTGAAGTTGCTACACCAAGGTTTATAATCGCCAAAGATTTATGTTAACTGAGTAAACAACTTTGTGGTAATTTACAGACTATCCTCCAATGCTCAACTAAATGGCACTGCATTCAACTCACGTGCCCAAGTTAAGATAACAAAGCATAAAGAGGTAACTTTCCCCCGGAAACAGGATAAGAACAGAAGCCTGGGTTCCTGAAGTATGACATAAACTCACCAAGTGAGTAGGGCTAAATTTTCTGGTTAAAATAAGGCAGTTTCCATTCCTTTACTTTTTAGCACCTTGCTTTATTAAATGAAGGATGCAAAAATCTTATTTTTGAATGGATTCATAACCTGCATGACAGATATTTTTAAGTCATCTTATAATAAAACTCTTTGAGCAGATATTTGCACCGAGACACATATACTGCTTCTAAATTTTAAGGGGAATTATGTGTGCTGAGGAGGAAAACAACAGATTTGAATGGTTGAGACTACTATACATAGAAAACTGATGTAACCCTTTACAAAGTCTATCTGAAGTTATATTCTTTTGTCTTCCTTCCTCTTTACCCCTGCCTGCTTTATCCTCCTTCAAGCAGGGAAAGTCTTTGCTCTGACCTTTAAAAGTTCATTATTCTTCAGTCATCACTGGGTGTGTCTATAACAGCAGTATTTCATTTCCTCTCATGACAAAGAGTGTAAGAAATTTTACCTGAGCATACTTATAAATCCCTATATGCTCACCTTCTCCCATCTGTTACTGTGATTTTGTCGCGGACTGAGTGCTTTTCCCCACTTGAATTTAACTTTGCCTTGCATATTACGAAGGTAGTCATCATCACACTACATTCTTAACCCTCAACCCTTGCCATTCTTAAGTGGAAGTTCCGGACCACAGTCCCAATTATATGGCTGCTTAACAGTGGTCTTAACCTTTAAGGTTTCAGTTGGTGAATTTCTAGGCAAAGTCCCATGAAAGCAAATGGAAAGTGATCTTGAAAACCTCCATGGGCTTGTGTGTAATAAACATCATGTAGTATTCCACCATCATCTGTGAGGACCACTTAAAGCATGTATTTGTAGAAGATGCACAATATAGTTACTCCATAATCTTATTCCCATTTAAGAACATTAGCATCTCTCACAAATTATATTAGCATTAGTAAAACAAAGGAAATTAAAAACAAGTGCTCAGTTAACAGAATAGCATATCATCTAATTTCAAAGGAAGAAACGGGGCTCCAAGTCATTGTAACTCCATAAACAGAAGAAGGGCGTCCTCACTCTGCCCTGTGCTTTGAAAATCTGTCTTTCAAGGTCGGCCCCTTCACAGTCCAGTTAGGAAGGGCAGCGTGGAAGGAGGGGTGGCTTTCTGCCAAGGCTGTTGCAGATGAGTGGGTGATCTTAGGGGAATGAACGGCAAAATCTCAAATTTTTGCTCGTGTGACAATAAAACCAGAGCCAGCTAATTTTTCTAAGACTTGTATGGCCTTCTGTTGCACTTCATTGTGCAGTTTTGAATGATAAATTTTGCTATGCATTAATTTCCACAAAAGGGTCAGTGCTATACTTAAGAGCACACCACTGTTTCCAATAGGAGTAACAAAAATATATTGTCTTCATCCTGAAATAGATACAAACAAGTATAGAAAAAAATGTGCTGTTATCAATACCTTTAAGAGTAAAGAGAGAATTCTTTTCACTGTTTCCCAGATTCCTGTTATTTGGATGATGTTGTGACAGGATTTTGTAAAATAGGTTCATGTTTTATATCACATATCATTAGATGCCTCTAGGTATGAGTGTTAAGGAAAAAGAAGACGACGACAGTGGGAATCCTCTTCAGAGTAAGTTCTCTCCAAATATAGCATAATAGATTGGGCAAAAAAAAAAAAAAAAAAAAATCTGGGTAC